GAGGAGCGAGAGAAGGCGCCGGCAGAGGGGGCGACGGCGGCGCGGGCTCGGCGGTGGCGGCGACGGTGGCGGCGGCGAGGGCGGCGGCGGCGAGGGCGGCGGCGGGCTCGGCGGCGGCGGCGGCGAGGGCGAGGGACGCGCCTGAGGTGCAGGGAGGGCGTCAATACTCACAGCACTGGTGGTTCGGCCTCTAGGAGGCGGGCGGCACCCGAGCGGCTGGCGTATTTTCCGGCCAGGCCGACGAGGGTGAAGGCGTCGATGAGCATCAAGCCGCCCGTGGGCCGCGCCAGGGCCGCGGCGGGTCCTGGCGACCCCTCGAGGGAGGCCAGGGTGGCCAGGGCAGCAGTCACAGCCTGGGAGGAAAAGTGCGCCGCCGACGCGCACTTCTCGCGCGGGTCATTCTCGGAGCTGTCGGGGGCGTGCGAAGCTACCGCCTGCGAACGGCCGGTTGGCAGACGTCATGGCCGGCATGTACGACCCTTAAGAACCCGCGTACGACCAGAAGGTCGGCTGTGAGGCGAGGCTGAAGGCAGCCCAAAAACTGGTGGATTTGTGGAGGGCGATCCTGCGTGAACTGACGGCAGGCAAGCCGGCAGGTGGGGGGCGGGGATGTGCCGGGTGGATCCCCAAGCGGGCGAGCCGGGCCCGTGCATAGTTCGGGCGCGGCGGGCGCGCGAGCATGAGAAAGACGCACCGACATGCTGGCGCTACCGGTCTCTTGTTGCCTGATTTTGACGATTCTCGTTGGACCGTCGCTCGGAGCGAAATCCCAAAACCTCTCAGCTCGAAGGGGGAATTTATTTGTTTGGGCAGTGTTCGACCGGGCTAGCAAAGAGCTGCATGCCACCGAAAGCGCTGTCGAGGTTCGCCGAGCGCGGCGAAATCGAGGGACACCGCCACCGACGAGCGCGTTGGACTTTTCACTCCGGACAAAGACCGCTGCACAGCGGATGGTATGGGCCGTGCAGCGGTCATAGCGGCGAGGCGCGGGACCGTCTGTGGCGAAGTGGGTCGCGTCCCTCGATTTCCTCAACTCACGGTCCGCTCCCTCTAGGAAGTAGGATCTAGGAACTAGGATGCACAGCGCAAGCCGCAAGCGCAAAGCCAAAGAGGATGGGGCGGAGAGGCCGCACAGAAGGTCAGAAGCTCGTGAGTACAGGAACGCACAAGAGTTATGTGCGCCAGGGCTACTACCAACTTTGCCGTGTACGTGTTTCTTTTACGTTAGTCTGTACACACTCATCACTCTAGAATGCGCACCCGCGCACCTCTCTTGTCGACTCTCTTGCGCGCAGCTATAACCGCACACCCTGTCACCCTTACCACTGTCATCCTGTACTGTCAGAACACATCAACCTTGCGCAGCAACCATCGCATTATCGGCCCCCTGGCTCTGCGTCCGGCGGCGTGTCCGCGCGACACTCGACGGTTCGTCCAGAGTTGCCACGGGCAGCATGTAGCTATCAAAGGTCCAGTACCTCCCGCTCACTCCGCGCCACCCCTCTTCGCCCGGTGGCTCGCACGGCACAAGTTGGAAGCGGCACCGCAGGCCGAGGACGCCGAGACACGCGCTCGTGCGCATGGCAAACGAGGTGTGCAGGCGGGCGGAGTGGGCGCAAAAGCCGTTGAAGAAGGAGAAGCGGCCGCCGGGCCGGAGCAGCGCGGGCAGCACCGCGCAGAAAGCGTCGAACTCGGCGACGCCCTCGCCAAACGTGTCGTAGAAGATGGCGTCGTACAAGCCGAGCCGAGGCAGCGCCTCCTGCCAGCGGCCAAAGACGAGAGCGCAGCGCGGCCGCGACGCCCAGCCGCGGGCGTGCATGTTGGCCCACACGTCGGGGTGCGCCTCGACGATGGTGTGCGAACGAGGCCCGAGGGCCTGCGCTGCCTCGTCGAACAGCCCCATCCCGAAGCCTATGTTGAGGACATCCGAGCCGGAGAGCGACGGAGCGCCGCAGCAGAGCGCAGCGGCGTGGGCGCGCATGATGGGCTCCTCCCAACGCATCATCACGGCCTTGCCGGTCGCGTCGGTGATGCGGTCGTGAGAGAAGTTTAGGCTCGACGCGAGGTAGCCGCCGTCGAGCGCCCGGCTAAGCGACACGGCAGGCCTCTCCCTTCCGCGGGGCGGGTCGAGGTCGCCGTCCGCGTCGTGGCGGCAGGCGGTGGACAGCATATATGCCGCCAGAGACGGGCAGGCGAGCGCGGCAGTCGCGAGGGCCCGCGTTCGCCACACCAGGGTTCCGGCTCCTACCCGGATAGGGGGTCTGTCCGCACTGACTCGCGCCTAAACGCCCTACCTACCACCATCCCGGGCCGCGCAGCGAAGCGAAAAAAGATGAAAATCCTGTACCGACCGATTGCAGGGCCCTTTTGGGCCAAACAAGACCTACCTATCTGGGAGGGGCCAGCAGACCCCCTATCCGGGTAGGAGCCGGAACACAGGCAGGCGCAAGTGAAAACTCACGTTCACCTCGACGGCCTGAGACCCAAATCCTGCAGGCAGCCTCGCACGAGCCTCACACGATCCGTTCCGCGTCCGATGGCCGCCCTCCGCGCCCACTCGCTGGACGCCTGCACCCTTGACCGCGAGCTGACGGCGCTGCTGTCAGCCTACGCGGAGCGGGCGGCGTCGCACTTTGGAGCGGCCGCCTGCGAGCTTGTGCGGCCGGAGCTGCGTGCGCTGCTCGCCACGGCGATGTGGGCACTGTCTGCAGGCAGCGAGGGCCAATCGCCCGGACAGGCCCTCCAGGGACTGCGCGTGGCGGCGCGACACGCCTCGGCGTACGGTCCGGCCATCCACCTCCCGCCCACCGCGAGCGGCAGGCCTGCCTCAGACACGCCGCTCCCGCGCTCTCGGCGGCTGGGCCTCCTTCTCGTGGGCGTGCTGCTGCCGTACCTGTGGGCGCGGCTTGGCCGCATGCTCACGCACGGCGGTGACGTTGGGGAGTCGCAGCAGGCGGCAGAGCTGCGGCTGTGGCGGTGGCGGCTGATGCAGCGGCTCGAGGCGGCGTGCTCGGTCGCCGCGCTGGCCGCAGCCGTCAGGCACCTTTGGCGCGGGAACGGGTCGCCTTCGCTCCCGCTCGCCCTTCTTGGTCTGCGGCTAGTGTACGCCTCGCCGCACGAGCCGCGCGGGCCGGACTTCTCCTTTATGAACCAGGAGCTCGCCTGGCGCACCATGGCAGACCTCGCCGCCGCGCTCCAGGCTCTCCGCAGGTCGCTGGCGGCGCCGTCGGCGCAGCCAGCGCCACAGCCGCTGCGTGTGACGCCAGAACACCCTCCCGCCGACGGCCCGGCGGGCTCCTCGGGCGACGCGGCGCCGACGCGGGCGGCTCTCGCGGCCTGCGGGTTTTGCGGTGCCGCGCCCATGCACGCGCCGCGGACCGCGGCGTGTGGCTGTGCCTTTTGCCACTACTGCCTGGCCGCGGCTTGCTTGCACCAGGCGAGGCCGGCTTGTCCGCGTTGCGGCGAGTCGCCGCTGGGGTTCGCGAGGGAGGGAAAAGGATAGGACACATACGGTGACGATTTACAGCGATTAGTTTTTTCCCGCCATTTTCGGGAGAGTCTGATTTCGCTTGAATTTCTCTCTGCTCCTTCTTCTGGAGTGTGGAGAAGGAATGCGAGATTCATGTGACACCATGTCGCATCATGTGTGGCAGCGGCGGCACAAGTAGCGGCGGCACAGCCGCGACGCCGACGGCCGATTTTTGCGATACATTATCGGGATCGCGAGATCCGTGTCGCAATTAATTACACACAGGATGGCTCACCCAGTCGTTGGCGTCTACACACCAATCGACTCGGGATACACAAAATGCCTCTGCGGATCTGCGGGCGGACCCTCACGGCAGCTCACAGCTCACACACATGCTACTCGTACAGCGGCGTGACAATTTTGGTTCAGACGTTTCACGCGCCGGCGCACAGATATATGGCCGCCATTCCGGACGGCAACGAGGATGGGGAGAGCACGCAGGAGAGGACAGGGGCAGACCTTATGCCCCGCCGAACCATCGATGTGCCGTCCGAGTTTGTGGCTGAGGATCAGCGGCAGCAGCGCTCAGTGGATGAGCTCCGCGCCCGCCTCGGGCTCTCCTTGCCCGATGCAGTGACTGAGCAAGAGGCCTCCCTCGATCGTCCGAGCCAAAGCACCCCGCAGGAGAAATCAGCGCATTCGGACGGCAGTCCTTCGCCAGCGAGCTCCGCCGGGCTTTGCCAGCAGGCACCCGCGCCATCGACGCGGCCCGCAAGCCGCAAGCCATCGCTCCCCAGACGGCCTCCGGCTCTGAGCGCGGACGAGGCAGCCGCGGTAGAGGCGGCGGAGGTGGCAGCTGCCGCTGCTGCCCAGGCCAGAGCGGAGGAGGGCCGACGAATGGCGGCCGAGCGGCTTCGGGCGAGCAAGCACAAGGCGGAGCTTGCGGCCAAGGCGGAGCTAGCAGCCGAGGCGGAACGATCCGATGGCTCCGCAGCCGCGGTGGTCGATGCGCGCCGGCTGGCAGCAGAGCGCTGCCGTGGGGACAAGGACCGAGAGCAAGTGGAGGCGCTGGCGGCCAAGGCGGACGAGCAGACGAGCGCACAAATCCAAAGGGCGGCGAGCACACTGGCGCACACGCTGCTCGAGCAGCACGACCAAGAGGCAAAGGCAGCGATGGAGGCTGATGCGTCGGAGGAGCTCGAGGCGCAGCGGCTCTACGCCAATGCCGACGCAAATGCACGCGGGTACGCCCAGCGGCAGGCGCAGCAGTTCGCCGACGAGGCCCAATCGCTCGACGACGATTTCAACGCGCTCGAGCGCTTGGAAGCCAGTGGTTGCAACGACGCCCGCGAGGGCACTTGCGAAACGGCGGGATCGAGACACGCTGCGCCTGTTGATGCACCGTCGGCCGCTGCCGCATCATCCCTGGGACCCATTCTGGAGCGCTTGCGCCAGCTGGATGCCGCTCTTGCCGGCTGGTCTGGAGATGAGCTCGCCGCGCAGCGACAGCAACCTCCCCGTGAGCGTCAAAAGCCACGCACCGCCAAGCGAGAACCATCGCGACCGAGCAAGCAGCAGCGGGCTGGTGTGGAGCCCAACCCTTGGAGGGACTGGGCCGAACGAACCGGCCTTGGAAGCGTGCTCAGGTCCATATTCTCGGGGACGGGCACCGGCGGTGCCGTGCAGAGCTCTGTGCTGCTCCTGGAGCGCGCCCTCTCACTCCCGTATGAGCCCTGGGATCGCCTCACGCAGCGGCTCAAGCCGTGGCGGGCGCAGCCTGGCACAAGCGCGGAAGTCAATCTCGTTGCGCTCCGGACATACAGGCAGTCGCAGCTGGAACTGGTCGCGAACCGCATCCGACCGCACAACGTTGACAAGGCCAGCACGCTCCCCCCGGTGCCGGCGGCGAGGGCGGCGGCGCAGCGTGCGCGGGCAGCAGTCGTGATAGACTCCCGCCGCAGAGCAAAGGCCACCCGGCGCAGCCAGCCAAAGAGCAGATCGGCAAAGCCCGGCGTCGCGGTACAGCCCGGCCGGGATCCCCTCCCTCGCTTGGCTGGCTCAAATCTGTCTGCCGGGGCTTGCGCTCTCGCTCGCGGCGACTTGGTGTGGTGGGATGCTTCGCGCCTCACTGGCTGCGCATGGGACGTGGAGAGACGCGCTTCGTGCCTGCGGCCGTCAGAGAGCCGCCGCAAGGCTACCGCAGAGGCTGCCGCACCCCGTAATGCACCCCCGCGCAAGAACGCGGGCGAAAAGGCGCGCGCGACCAGCGCGAACGAGGCGACGCGAGCACGGGTGAGGGCCACGGCCAGCCTCTGGTCAGCCTCCTCCCTCCACTCGCAGTCCAGTGCCGCTAGTTGTTAGGAGTCTGGAGTAGGCCTACTGTCTACTGCTGACGTTTTTCCCATTCGACATGTGAAAAAGGACGACACATACATGCATTACATCGACAATGGCCATGCACGCGTCGGCCGTCGCCGCCACACTCATCCCACACCGGTGTCCACGTGCTCGCACGCGTCGCAGTGCGCCAGCGTGCAAGATCCTCGTGGGCGGCGCTGGCGACGCGAATGGTGCGGCGGATCCCGCATCAGAGAGTAAAGGTTCGAGCAGAGGCCTCCGCCTCCTTTGCTCCTAGGAAGGGTCCACATCCGGCGCGCTCGCCGCCGCCGCTAGTTGCGCGGCGATTTGGCCACGGCTCGTCGGCCGGTGCGGCGGTGAGTTCGATGGGCCGCCTCGCTTGGCAGGGGCGTTCCGCTGCAGCTGCGCCCACTGTAGGTGCCGCGCAGTCCGCTTGGCGAGCAGGAGGCCGGGCTGCGACTCCCTGCGGCTGCGCATCGGGGGCGAGTTGATCAAGCAGCCGTTCGCGTGCCGCTTGGCGCGCTTGGTCGGGCTCTCGGGCGGCGTCGGGGCGGGCGAAGAGTCGAGCGGGCGGCCTCCCTCCTCCTCGGGCACGTAGAAGCGGATGCTGCACAGCGAGTCGCTCTTCGCCCAGCTCACGTTGCGCTTGCGCACGAGGCGCCGCGCTGCCGGCTGCGGTGCGCCGCCGACATCCTCCTGCGCGCACCATGCCACGGCGACTGACGACGCCTCTACCGCCATCGCTGCGACAGCAGCCTCTTCCACCGCCGATGCGGCGATTGCTGCCGCATTGGCCGCCTCCGCCTCGGCCTCGGCCTCGGCCTCCGCCTCCGCCTCCGCCTCCGCCTCCGCCTCCGCCGCCGCCGCCGCCGCCGCCGCCTCCGCCTGCTCTGTCTCCGCCTCCGCCGCCGCCTGCTCCTCTGCCTCCACCGCCTGCTCCACCGCCTGCTCCACCGCCTCCGACGGCCGCTCCTCCCCCGCGGCCGCCTGCGCCTCCAACGCCTCGTCCGCCTCTGCCGCCTCCGCGCCCGAGCCAAAGTCCTCGCCAGCCTCTGCAGCCGCGACATCGGGAGCAGCTCCGGCAACCGAGGGAAGGACGGCGCTGGCCATCGCCCGAGAGGACGCGGCTACGCCGAGCGCCGCCAGGCGGCCGCGCGAGGAGTGGCTGCGGGCGGGCGGGCGGAGCTGCGTCGCTGCCGGCCGCTTGCGCGAGTTGCTCCCGCGCGATGCGAGGGCGCGCACCACCGCCGGCGGAAGCGGAGGCAGGGACTCCAACCGCAGCGACCCGAAACGCAGCGACGAGGCCTTGGCAGGCCACGGCTCGGCGTCGAGCCACTGCGGCGACGCCTCCTCCTCCGCCGCTCCCTCCTCGATCAGAACCTCCTCGGTCGAACCCGCCGCGGGCTGGCCAGTGCAAGCAGCGCCATGGGCCGCCGTGCGGGTCGGGCCCTCGTCGAGGGCAGGTGCCGCCTCGAGGATCCTCGCCGCCGCGGCGGTCGTGGCGAGGTAGCCGCGCGAGAGCCTCGCGCGGGCGTGACTGACGGCGCCACGGCGCTTGGCGATGGGGAGGTTGCGGCGGCGGCCGCGGGACGCCAGTGCCGCCATCACCCTGGCCGGTGGCGGGCGCGGGGGCGGGGGCGGCGGCGGCGGCGGCGGCGGCGGCGGCGGCGGGGAGGACGACGCCGGCAGCGCGACGGGCTCGGCGACGATAGAGCTTCCGTCGTCGAGGCACGCACCGCTGTCCACCGGCGGCAGTGAGGCCGGCTCGGGAGAAGGCTGCGCCGGTCCTCCCTCGCCGCCTGCGGTCACGCGGCTCGCCCGCCGGCGCAGGGGCACCGGCCTGTCCGACGGCTGCGGGGATCGGCGCGAAGGCGGCCGCTTGGGCTGCTGCTGCGACGAGCGCTTCATCGCGGGCCTGCGCTTTGTGATGGCCGGGAGAGGCGCCGGTGGGTGCTGTCCCGCGATGAGCTCCTGACGCGTCGGACGCCGCGATCTGCGGCGGTGCTGCTCTTGCGACGGCGCGACAGTGCGCTGCTGGCGCGAAGGCGCGCCCGAGCTGCTGCCTGAGCCCCTGAGCTTCCTTCCGGAGCGCTTCAGCTGGTTGTCGGTGGGCGGCGAGAACTGCAACACCCGCGGCGCCGGCGGCGACAGAAGCACGTCCTCACGGCACTCGATCGCCGGCGTGGACTGCGCGAAAAAACGCCGGCCCTGCTGCGAGGTTACGCAGAGCGTATCCCAAGCAGCTCGGAGCAGGTTGAACATTTCGGTCGGTTTTCGCGCGAACGAGCACTCCCGCCTGATGGATCGAGAAAGAATTCTCCGACTCTCTCCGACGCCATGTCCACCCATACCGCGCTCGAGGTATCTTGTTGGCAAAGCAAGACACAGAGCTCACACAAAATCACAGTGGGTGGTAAGCGAACGAGTCACTTAACAGGGGTCGATTAGTGCGGGCCACCCTGTCCATCAAGAGGCGGAGGTGCCTTTCTGGGATCTTGCGATCGAGTCTATGCAACCCTCGGCCACGCTCTCCTTTCGTGGCTGATAAGCATTCGCAGACCAGGCGATGGAGATGGCGGGGAGCACGGATGTGACTGCTCACCAAGGCCGAGGGGGGCACGACATGCACCGACCCTTCACGAACCGAAAGGCCGTGCCCGGCGTGCAAGGGGCCGGTAATCCGGCACGTGTTGGGCGCCCCATTCCGTATGGCGGCTAGGTCGGCTCAGGGCCCCGTCCACTTCCCTCCCACTTGGCGCGTGAAGATGAAAGAGATGCCACCCAGGCCGGCCAGGGCAAGGGCGGAGGGCGAGAGCGGAGGGCGGAGGGCTGGGCGGAGGCAAGGGCGGGCGGAGGGCAGGAGGATTTTTTTTCGTTGGCCGAAGCCTCGGTGGCCGAAGCCTCGGTGGCCGAAGCCTCAGTGGCCGAAGCCTTAAAGGACGGGTTGGGCCGCGGGGAAGGGAGGGCGGAGGGTGAGGGGAGAAGGGGCGCGGGCAGCGGGCACGCGGGGGGGCAGAGCGCGAGTGCGAGTGCGAGTGCGAGTGCAAGTGCGAGTGTGCGGGGGCGGGGGCGGGGGGGCGGGAGGGCGGGGGGGGGGGGGTGAGTGGAGCAGTAATAATCTCGTTGGCCGAAGCCTCGTTGGCCGAAGCCTCGTTGGCCGAAGCCTCGGTGGCCGAAGCCTCGGTGGCCGAAGCCTCGGTGGCCGAAGCCTCGGTGGCCGAAGCCTCGGTGGCCGAAGCCTCGGTGGCCGAAGCCTCGGTGGCCGAAGCCTCGGTGGCCGAAGCCTCGGTGGCCGAAGCCGCGCTGGTGTCCTCTCCGAGCCTGGCTGTTCTTCACCTTCCTACATACATACATGCTCAAAACAGAAGAGTGGTCCTTTTTGAGGACGCGAGGAGAGAGCTCGATGAACTCGAGGCACGAGGGGCCGCAATAAATACGCCGCGAGGAGAGCGGAGTTGCGCCGAGAGGCCAGCGAGAGGCGGGAGAAGCCGCGAGAGCAAGGGATCGGCAGGCGGCGGCGCCGTCGCTCGCAGAACGAGGCCAAGGAGAGCGACGAGTCAGAGGATGAAGCGGCAGGAGAGAGAACGACGAGAGCGGGACGATCGCGAGGTGGCATGAAGGTCGCTGCAAGAATCGGCGAGAGACTGCGAGGACGCCCAGGAGAGATAAGCGAGGAGAGATAAAAAGAGGCAGACACCCAAGAGTGGGCGACGGCCTGGTTGGCTAGGGATGAGGCCACAAAAGAGGCGCGCGAGGCAAGGAGGAGACGCGGGGAACTGGGAGACTGGGACGACTGGAAACAAGAAGACAGTGAGCCACCACAGGCGTCGTTGGCGCACATACTGAGCGGCAGCTGCGCTGGAAATAAGGAAGAGGCGCGTCACTTCATGCGGAAGCTCGACAAACACACAGCGAGGGCGACAGCAAGAGTTGAACGGGAGGCGCCGGACTCAAAAGACACCGCCACATTCCTGAGACGAGCGAGGGCAGCCTCCTTAAAGGCGAAAGGGTCTAGATTTGGAGCGCTCGCCGAAGAGGAGTACGACAAAATAGCGCCCGTGATTGCCTGCACGCTACCCGCACTCACGGACTCCATACCCGAAAGAAAGAGAAGGGAGCTCGCGGGAGAGGTGACGAGTGAACTACAGGTAGTGGGGAAGGCAGCCTCGATTGCCATACAGACATGGGTGCGAAACAACGACAAGACCATGGGCCTCGAGCTGCTCGAGCCGCTTGCGAAGCACTCGCAGCTCCTCGGCCGAGTCCACGGGAGCGGGAGGCGCGGCTGGGGCCCCGTCGGTGCCCCCGCCAGCCCCCGAGGGGGGGGGCTCCTGCCCAGAGCCAGCTTTGGCCTCTGCGGGCCGTTCGTCTTGGTCAGCGTCGGAAGCGCGCTTCGGCGCGGATTTGCCCATATCGTTGGGCGCACGGAGGGAAGCAGAGGTGGGCTCCTGCCCGAGAAGGTCGCGGGACCTGCGCAGAGCTCGCTCTGCGTGATGCCGCTCGAGCTTGGGCGTGCACGCAAGGGCCACGCGCAAGCAAGAGCAAACAACTGGGAAGTTCACAGCTGAGCTTACCCAGAGAACGCCGTTCTCACCCATATTCCTGCCGCTTCGCTTTTGGGGTCGGCTCGCGCTGCGAAAACACAATGTTCCGCGTCCTTGCGCCGCTCCGCCCCTCCTTCTTCGCTCAGAAGCTCGGCGGCGGACGGCCCGGCGAGGTCTCGTTCTGCCCCGCGCTCCTCCACCTCGTCCTCCTCTCTGCTCTCCTCTCAATTCCGACGACGATTGCGTGCGTGGCGAGGCTCCTTCCGGCGCTCGCGTCCTTCTCTGTGGGCGCGGCGCTGCAGCAGGCGGAGGTACTCTTCCCGCGGGGGATAGAGCTCATCTTCAACGGCTCCAGCGCGCAGATCCGGCCAATCGCGCCGGCTGCCGACGGCGCACCCGCGCGCGACGTGGC